TGAATTTTTTTTAAATAACTTTTTTTTTTTTCCCAAGTAACAAAATAAGAATAGATAACATGCAATAACATGCATTACATAGCTTTGACAAACTTTCTGAATATATGCTATGTAATCTCAAATCAATCACGTCAAGATAATTACTGATCTTAATTAGGATCACAACCTTTAAGTGGACAACTTCTACTAATTCTGTTATCCCAGAATATGCAAATGAACTATCACAATTCCAACAAAAATATTCTAAAAGATCAAAATTAAGAAATTTTGAAATGCATTGTTTTTCAGACCAGTGGCCAGTAGTGGCTTGGAAAACAAGGTATTAAAGCCAGAAAAGGAGTTATTAGGGTAGGGCACAGTTACAACAGCCAGATGGTAGAAAACTTCAATTACAAACAGGCTTAGCATAGAGTTGTCTTTCCCAGGAAAATAAGTGGAGGCTGAATTTCGAAAGTCTAATCTGTTACAAGGCTTCATCAGTGAAAATCCCAGACATATTATAAATTCTCAGTTATCATCTGAATTAGGTGTTGAGAAGCAACAGCTTATGCAGACACGTATCTGCACTCACCTTACCTGTCCTTTCCTCTCTTACCTGATGTAACCGATCTGAGGTCTGTGCTGCAAGAACCAGCGGTAGGAGACTTTGTCTTTCCACCCTACATTTCGAGGGTCCTTCCACAGCAGCCGGACCTGATCAATGGTGTCTCCCGTGTGCCACAGGGAGTTGCGGAGGTGCTCACCAGGGCCTGTCTTGGATTTCACAGCCTGCGGAAAAACAATTTTCCAACGCTGATCACAGAGAAAGGTGACTGTCAGGAGCTCTTAAGTCTTTTTGAAGCAGCCAACAGGTCTGTAGAAGTACCCTTCCTCCTCCTCCTCCTCACAAGCCCCCTAACTTCTCTTACACAACCACAGCCACTGCTTGCATGGAAAAGCAACCTGGACCAGGGAGGAGGAGGCAATTTGACCAGTTACAGTCAAAGCACAATGACAGCAGAAACTCAATGCTCCAGCTGATGAGCAGGAGCAAGACTGGGGATGAAGCTCCTTAAAAAAAGGTTCCATTAAGAGGGTTGAGTGGCAGCTGCCTGACTTCACAGTTTTGACACCTGTTGCAGGGAGAGAACAGCAGTCGGGCAGCATGGCCATCGCACAGTGCAACGGCTTAGCCCATGGCAGTCAGGTGGCAGGGTGGCATGGCCAACATACAGCAGGATGGCATAGCTGGGCTGTAGTGACCACTGTGTCCCCAGCTAGGAGCCAAGAGCAGTACCTTTAGCTGAATGCCGGGTTCCGCAACAGCTCTGAAGGGAGTCGCTTGCCAGTACGTCTGTTCAGTCTGTTTCCACATTACCACATAAAAGCTAGAACTGTCTTGATAACCAAAAATAAAGCCAGCGTAGTCATCATCTGTCACCGTGTTCACATGGAAAGTGCCCTCAAAGTCAACACCATTAAAAGCTGTGTAACCTGAGGATACACGCAGGTTAGAAACAAGTCTGCATAAAATGTGTTCACGTGCTATAAACTTGGATCTCAGAAGAGGATACATACCAACAGCAAGGCCAGGGTCGCTGTTCATAGTCTGCACAATTTCCATGCCCTGTAAGAGTAAATTCAGGGTGGTTAGACTCCACCTGATTACAGACTGGATTGTTGGGCTGAGGCCAATGG